AGAAAGCTGAAATGCTGTGATACTGGAAGCAGAAGAGGCGGATTGTTTTATTTTGAACATTTCTTAGTCAAGTTGTATGTGCTCCTGGAACAGCTGCTTCTCTGCAGGGTGGCCTTGTGAGACTTATGAGAGTGGCATACCTTTGTTGCAGAATATACAAATGCAATAAATCTCTGGGATAGTGTCAGTCTTACTTGTGATAATGAAAGAAGAATCAGCCCCAGTTATGTATGAGGTAGATACAGGTCTGCTGAGACTAAAAAGAATTAGGTCACTTAAGACATTTGACATTCTTTTCCTATAACTGAAATAGTGATTGTAAATTACAGCATTTCCACATGGTAACAAATGCTCGATTTTCTCAGATACGTGTCTAGGTTTTTTAAATTTATTGGATGCTTAAATAATAATTGCAGTCTCATGCAGTATGTAATCTTTAAGTAACACTACTGCTTATTGAGGAAGACAACAGCAGAACATGGCAGTGCTGTTCCCTCGGGCTACTGAAAGAGTTATTTCCAGGCTGTAACAAAAGATTAACTTCTGCTTTCCATAAGGAATTATGATTTGATTTCCAAGCTTCTTTCACCTTGACTAATAGCTGAACTGGTACAGTTACTAGTATATCCAAGTAAGCAAGCTTCTTTTTATCTCTTTTTTAAATTCCCCCAATAACTTTTTCCTTTAAGACTTTTGAAACAAGCAGTGGATTTTTGAGATTTCCCAAACCAGTTCCAGAAAGAGATGGTCAAAATTATCTTGCCAGCAGCTGAGAGATGCGGTTGCATACATCCAGGTCTGGCACTGGGAGTTGTGGTCTCATTTGAACATAGTAAGACCAAATAGGTTCTTGGTAGACTGTCACTATTATAAATGGCCCTACACCTTCTTAATCATTTTGATGCATTTCATTTTTTTCCAGAGCTCCTGTAATTGCTGCCATTGTAATATCATATGAAATGAATTCCTCTTAACAGGAAATAGCAATACTTTTTTTAAGGTGTTTTCTTGACTAAACACCCAAGATTTGCCTGTCTGCACAGCCAGATTTTACTGGAGTGAAAACTTGTAAACAGTTTTCCAGGACAGATAAAAATTTAGGTTTCCTTTTGAGAGCTAGCTTGCAGTAAACCTTGCTAATTCAACAGTGTATTCACCAGCATACAGCACAGCAATTTTGTGGTCAGATGGCAGCATTTCTCTGTTTCTCTTGTTTCATTCTTGTGTTACGGTAATTCTTTCATGGCAAAAGACTATTTTAAGTGATCAAACAGTAAAAATGTTATGGATGGTTGAAGCTACAAAATTAGTGGGAAGAGTTGTCTGAGTTAAGAGGTGTTTGGAAGCAAAAGATTGGTTCTGTTTGATTTTGATAGAGCCCAATTCTACCAAATACAGGCAAAAAAAAAGAATAGCAGGATACAACCTAACCAAAAGGGAATGAACACAGCTGGCCTCTGCAAATTTTGAGTTTTACAATAGGTAAAATGAACAGCAAGACTGCAGGTTTCATGTGTTCGCTTTTATCAGTCTATTAAGCTTTATAAGCCATATCCTGCCATGTCAGTTGTAATATTCTACATGTAAATTATAGTTGTTCAGCACTTTCACTGAGGCATTCTTTAAAGAATGTCCTCCTCCAGGTATGTGCAAAGAGAGGATGGGGTAATGTTCACAGTGTTTGCAGGCACATATTGTGCTTTTCTCTTGATGCAGCTGGAGTTTGAAAACAGTTCAACATTTGGATATTGCAGCCTTTGTGTATGCTTTTGGTTTGATTGTTTGGTTTCATTTTTAAAAACGAAGTGTTAAATTTACCAGTCTTAGTCACTTCGTGTTTTACTAGCAATACTGGAGATAGAAATTCCAGCCATCCTGCCAGGCAAAGTCTTCTTAAATAGCAGTGTGGTTTTGGAAGGGAAAGAAGCACCAAAAAAACCTACAACATAGCTATCAAAATTAGATAGGATAGTTGGCTCCGCTCCTAATTCTGTACAACTCTTGGGATACAAAAGGGAGAAATAATCTTCTAATCCTTTTGCAAAATGTAATGTAACTGGAACTTCTTGAGAGAGATGAAAAGAATCTGTTCCTTTCGTCATTTTTCTGGTTTATGTGTCTGTTAGATTACCTTTTCTGGAACTTAAGTGTTTGTATTACATCAGCACCTTGAGGTGCTAATCACAGTACAGCTTTTTAGAATTACGTATAAGAGGTAGACATTCAAAAGGCTTCATGTTTCTTTGATTTTCATCCCTTTTGAAGGCTCCCACATTGCTTATTTAAACAGATAGTCCTATTTCCAACCTTAGCTATTCTATGATTCTATGATTTGGTTCATTGTTTGAAAAAAGGGAATGAATTGATCAGCCAGTGCTGAGTAACATCACAACGAATAACAGTTTCTTCTGAATTCCCTGTTGTGAAGAAACTTGGTGCTGGATAAAAGTTAAGGGCAAAACTTAAAATGGTGTTACCATTTTTCCTGAGTGTCCTGAGGGAATGCCCAATGCATCTGACATCAAAATCACGTTACATGCTTTTTGATTATGAGTGGCCTGTTTAAACGTGGCGTTGCTGTACAGCTCTATTTTTGTCCCTGTAACCTGCAGATGACAGGGAGTTTCTGAACGATTAATGAATGGTTATGAAAGCTGCAAATAACTGCTAAGTGGAAACCTTACTGGAACACTTTGGCAGTATGCACCCAGACGTGCTGGGCTGTAAATAAAGGAGGAGGGTTCTTGGGGGCTTTGCACTGCCATGGGGTGTGTTCAGAATGAGCCCAATACACTGTAATGGATTTGCTGGTTATTGTTTTCAGGAAAAATCACAGCCTTATCTTTTAGTTGTCATACTGGGCTCCATAAGTTAGAGCACATCTGTCCTGACAAAGCAGATTGTCCTGACTGGGCACTTGTACAGCTAATGGATTAGTAAAGGATGGGAACTTTCTGAAATAGAGCAGTAGTTGAAATACTAAGAAATTTATCTTAAACAGCAAGTAGTACTTTTGTTAGGAAGTTCCTTTCTTCTGTTTATTTCCAGCATTTTTGTGGTGCTGAATACAAAAACCTAATCAGTGTTGCAGACAAATTTGTAGCTCCCGTTTCAAGTTTCTGAGGAGATTATAGAAAGCTGTTTGAGGGAAGTGAACGGAGAACCTGAGCTATTCTGAGTTTAAGGTAGGCTTCTGGGAGGGACCAACCTGAGGGGTTGCCCAGGGGGGTTGTGGAGTCTCCTACATTGGAGATATTCAAGGCCCGCCTGAACAAGTTCCTGTGTAATGTACTCTAGGTTACCCTGCTCTTGCACGGTGGTTGGACTAGATGATCTTTTGAGGTCCTTTCCAACCCTTGGGATTCTGTGATTCTGTGATTCTGTGATTTGGGGATGGACTCTTCATTAGGGACTGTAGTGATAGGACAAGGGGTAATGGGTTTAAACTTAAACAGGGGAAGTTTAGATTGGATATGAGGAGGAAATTCTTTCCTGTTAGGGTGGTGAGGCACTGGAATGGGTTGCCCAAGGAGGTTGTGAATGTTCCATCCCTGGCAGTGTTCAAGGCCAGGTTGGACAAGGCCTTAGGTGATATAGTTTAGAGCGAGGTGTCCCTGCCCATGGCAGGGGGGTTGGAACTTGATGATCTTAAGGTCCTTTCCAACCCTAACTATTCTATGATTCTATGAGGCGAAAGGCTTGCAAAAGCACTTGGGAGAAGCCTGTGCTTGCTCTGAGAGATCAGTCTTCTCAGGGGATTATGCAAGGAGGGACAAACCTAGCCTGACTCCATTCAAGGGCCAAAAATACTGAAAGCATTGAGTGACTGAGTCTCAGTGGCTTTTCCAAAGAATATGGTTTTACCAGACTACCTTGTTGTCTTGAGATTGCAGCTGGGTGTGATACCAGGTAGCAGAGCTTTTCCTGGAAAAGTAAAAAATTAATAAGGCTGTATGGATATGAACCTAGTTCAGAAATACTTCAACTCCCTGTGCAATGGAAGGCATGTTTGAAATGCACTGCCAGGATAGCTCTTATGTACTAATAGGTGATCTTTTAAAAGGTTACTTTTCCTTTTATTGTGTGCTGTCAAAGGCACAGTAGGTGGGGTTTTTGATCTAGCACACCACAGGTATAGAGCTGATAGTTATCAAGCTGTGAGGCTGTCTATAATTATTTATGCATTTTCAGTTGATTGATACACACCACTGAATCATTCACAGCAGGGACTGTGATGCTGACATTCCATGTGTAAGCCAAGATACAGTCTGTAAAAAGAAGAAAGTTTGCACTTTCTAGAATGAGTGAAGAAGTGAATTTTGCTTTGTATGAAGGAGGGACGATCATAATAGGGTTGTTTGTAGTTGAAGCGGAACGCATCTCATAATTTGTGGTACTCTTTCGTAAGGAGCAATGTACAAAAATAATTCTAGTATACTTTCTAAAAATAAAGCATTTTCCTTGTATTGCTGTTGTTGTTGCTGTACATGAATTAATACAGAAAATAATAATAAGGTTTATTTTGAGGGGAAGACAATTTTTTTATTAAACAGGGCATACTTTGTTCTTGTGCCATATGAATAGCACACTTCAAGAAGTTGTGACAGCGAAGTCAAAGGTTTATCTTATTGTCTGCTTGATAATTTTAAAGGCTAACCCCCAAACCTACATTTTAAATATTAAAAAAAAAAATCCAAAAGAGGTGTTTCTTCTTAATTTTTGACAACATATCGTTGCTTAATGTGATGATACCACAATTATTTGGGGAAGGAGATTTCTATACATTGACTTGCTGCTTTTTGGTCACATGACCCTGATGTATTCATCACTCTGGTCATGATGTAACTCCCTGAGACATCTCTTGGATGAAATATGCAATACAAGTATACAGAAATATTAGGAATATGCATATATTCAAAGACCACGCTTGTAAAAACTTTTCTGCATTCTTAGTATTCTCTTTTTACAAAAAGCTTGTTTTTCCTCTTCTTGTGTTTTAGATATTGACGAGTGTGAAAATGACTTCTACAATGGGGGTTGTGTCCATGAGTGTATCAACATTCCAGGCAACTACAGGTGTACATGCTATGATGGGTTCATGTTAGCCCATGATGGCCACAACTGTCTTGGTAAGTAGTGAATGCTGGCATGAAATTTTCGTTTCATGGCTGTGGTAAGAAGGCCTCACCTGCTTGCTGCTTTTTGTCAGCTGCTTTTCAGTAAAAATGTGATACAGATTGATTACACACTGAGTAAGTTCAAACCTATCCGTTGACTCTAGTGTGGTTTAGACTAGACTCTTAAAGTTGGCATTCTTAATCCTAACTCAGATCAGTTTGCCCATCTTTAACATTGCTAAACCTTTGCCCCCACCCCCAAAGGATGTGCTGCATGTTTGGGATTCTATTTTAAGAGAAGTAATCTGTCACATTCACTTAAATATATTTTGTCTGTTTCTTCCAACTTCTGTAATTCCAGTTATATCCTTAGAGCTGCCCTTTCCCTTTTTTTCTCTTTTAGGTTAACATAGTTCTAGGATATGCTCCTTGAACATAAGTTACAGAATGTTAAAAGTGCAAGTGGAGTATTTGGAATATCTTTCCCAGTATTCCCAATATAAATGCAATGACCAGTGTTTGGTACAGTCCCAAATCAATTTCAAAGTGATGTTTATAAAACTGTGTGGAGTGGGAGGTTTATTTTTTAGTGGTTTTTTTTTTCTGTGACATGCAGCACCTTTACTGTGGTAAAAACTGAGATTCTTTGCAATAAAAGGCAAGAAATCAGGTAGTGAACCAGAAATAATGAAGTCCACTAATATAAGTCTGCAGTTTTTGAAGCTATGGAACTGGAATTTCTGAGCAAGGATTTGGTTAGCCTTTCAGTAGATGTGTTTCCTACAGCATTCATTTTCAAACTGAATAATATTTGTTCAGATGGAACCATTGTCAGGCTTTTGACTCAAACTTCAAATTTTGTTTGTTACAGAGCAGACTGAATAGATTTATTTGCCTCAGCCTGAGGTGGTCAAAAGATTAATTGTGCAAGAGGTATTTCTTTTACAAAGAGAAGCCTGCCATTCCTTTGAAGAAGAAAGAAAAACTGTTTGTACTAATGTCCATAAGTGTCTCTTAATAAAACGGAACACAAATCAAATAGTTCAAATAGTTCAACTATTTGGAATTCAAATAACAGTGCATGTACATTGTTAAAAAACGACTTGCTATTTTCAACTTTCTTTCCAGATGATTCCCATGGTAGTGGGGAAAAGTAGGTTAACAAGTATGAACAGGAAAAGGAGTGACCTGATAAAGGATGATAAAGGAGATCTGTGAGGGTTTTTTGGCCCCCTGTGGTCTGTGGCTTTCCTCTGTGGTCATGAAACATGCAGGCTGGATCTATAGAGACAGCCAAATCTCTATTTTCTTTGCATTAATTACTGTTCAGCCACTTGAGGTTTTTTTGGAGGGGGAAAGGCCTATAATAATATAAGCACGTGGCTACAGTTAAAATTATTGATCCAAAGCCTGCTAAGAGATCTTTCAGCTTTTGTGCAATTGGTGTCTGCTCATATTCATGGTCTACTGTGAGCTGACTCTTTGTGTTACCCCAAAAATGTTAGGAACCATTTTGCTTCCAGAAGAGGTTCAGTGAACAGATGAGTGGGAGTACTAGCAAGGGCTCCCTTTCTCCCAGTGTACAATTTTAGGACACAAAAAGAGGTTACAGTTGCCTTTCTAATTTTGAGACCACTGTCTGGGGAAGTTTCTGTTCCTGAAATGCAGATTGAATATTTGCGACTAGTGCATGGTCTTTGGTATGTCTCAGTAATATAACTGCTTTTACCCAGAGGCACTGAAAAGAGAATCAAGGCACGTTGCTCTTTCTCCCTTCTTTAAAATTTGTGTGCATTTATTGAGGTCTAGTGTCTGGTTGTAAGGTCTCACACTGGAGTTTTTAATCCTGACAGTGGCCAAGCAGATGCTGCTATGACTGCCTATTGTGAGCTAACTCAGATTTGAGACACCATTGCTAGAAAAGAGAGAACTTAATTTTTCTGTCATCATTTGGTCCCTAGCTGGTTGTTAGCGTTATCAGTTATACTAACTGCTGGGATAGCCTGTTTGCTCCAATTAGCACAGTATCAGTTTTGAAAAGGGGGACATTTCTAGTCTTTTCCCTTCTGGACTAGTTACATTCTCTTTCACTTAGGGTACCAGAAATGTGTAAATGCAGCTGGCAGGTTTTAAGAGGATGCAGTGAGATCTCAAATCAGAAACAGATCTCATATTTGCACATGCTTAAATTAGGATTTCCAGAACCTTTTGCAAAATTGTCCCAGAATGTAAAACTTGGTTAGTTTATTCAAAATATTTATTTCCCCATGAAGAAATTAGACATTGAAAGAATTAAAGTTTTGATGAGTCCACTGATTTCCACGTCTTCTTGCTCTTTCAGAGACCACTTATTTTTCATGGATTATAAGGAGACAATACTTCACAAGCTTAGTGGCAATGTTTTTCACCTTTCAATGCATTCTACTACTGCAGGGGTTTTTAATCCCTTCCCCCTCCTCGCTCTGTCTCCCCAACCTTTATAAGGATTTTACAAAACCGTCAAAATGAAGACTGCCAAGTTAGATACCGTATCATATATTCTGTGTATCAAGTTGGTGCTCCTCCTAGAAAAGGCCTGTAATTTATTAGCATGCTGAAATTAAACTTGTATTCACATTAAGTAAGGCTGTAGTAGATCTTGTATAGAATTATGTCATTTCCATGAAATTTGTAGATGAGCCTATAAAACTTGGGGCAGGTTGGTTTTGAAAATCCTGCCTGAACCTCCTTCTCAAATAGCACTGTGAATGTGTATGTTCATGGACAGAAGACTTGCTAGGGGTGGCCCAATATCAAGCTATATTATTCCTATTTCTCCCTCATCCTTTGGCCTTCCAGGCACTACTGTTGGGTCCATTTTGTTAGCGCATAAAGAGCCATAGAGCAAGAACTCTTAGGGGGCAATTTGACTGCCTGAACATAGGAGCCTCGTGACACCGAGAACACCCTGGAGCTGGTAGATGTGATTCTGAGGTTATGGGATCATAGAATATCTCAAGTTGAAAGGGATCCGTAAGGATCACTGAGTCCAGAGAACTACAGGAATAGAGCTGGAGTGAGATGGATGCTAGATAGACTTAATATTAGGAATCTAAAATGGCATCTGACACCAATGTTTAGACAGCTGAATTGCTCTCTCAGTGACTTGGACTGCATTTTGTCACATACACATCACTAGAAACCTTTAATGATTTTAGATAGAAGGCCTAGGGATGGAACCCCATGGTAGTTCACTGGTAGTCCTGTAGGACATCTAGGAAACAAGCTGTAATTGACAAGACTGTTATATTGGGGTTGCATCTACATTTGACTGTAGTCTATGCAAAATCTTAAGCCATCTCTAGGACGAAAATTAACTCTATCCTTTCTGAAACAGGGATATCTTGTCAGGGTTTATATTACTTCTTAAATCTTCACTGGATGTCTTTCTAATAATATCAGCATAGCAAGATGATTAAAATCTTCATTATAAATAGCAAATTTTGAGTATTCATGACTAATTAGATCAGCAACATTCGACAGGTTGGTTTTTTTTCCTGTGTTCTTGTTTCAATATTTCCTTCTTTCTAATCAGGTGAAATTTGTTATTTATTTATTTGTTGGGAGAAGGTGTTTGGTTAAGAATTGCTGGTTAAAATTTGCACTGGAAAATGTCCAAAACTATCCTCAGGGGAACTCAACTTGCTCTATATTTCACATTTTTATTGACGAATTCTTCAAATATAATGTGAAATGATACCACAGGGAATTCAAACTATTATGAGATCCTTGTCTGGCTAAAAATAATATATTTTAGCACTGTAATCACTTGAAATAGCACTATTTCTTTTTCAAAATTGCTCTAAATTCTGCTCAGTGGCTGCAAGACTAATATTTGGTCTCATGCAATAGGTTTTCTTTATCCTTCATTTGAAACCAGTCATGAAATATGTTTTCCTCTCTCACACACAAAATACCAGTCTGGAGTTTCTTTTTCATAAGCAGTTAGCTCACTGATCCAGATGTTCTTTCCTGTTTTCATTTTTTTTCTCCATGATACTACTAATAAATTGATTTTTCCTTCTTTGTGTCTTTCACATTTTGAAGCATGCTATACATTTCTATTCTCTCTTGTCTTTAGGAGAGATTATGGCATGCTTCCTGTTAGCGCTGAATGCTTTACCCATCTCATTTATAGTATATCAGGGTATCTACTCAGGTATGTGGTAAAATCTGTGAATCCATACTACAGAGTGTCACTGAATAAGACTTTAAAACTGGTCGTTCAAAACATGCTCCCTGCTCTTATCCAGCATGTCATTTAAAGTAAGAAGACTGAACTTTTGCATATGTGTAAGTACATTATTGATTTAATGCCTTTTTGGCAGTTGGGTATCCTTGTACTATGTCTTCATGTTCTCTTGGAGGTTTTCAGTAGGACAGAGAACAGAGAAGGTAGATTGAGCCTGGAGTTGTAAGCCTGGGTGTACGCAGAGTGGTATGTGATGTGATGGATAGGGATACCAGAGAGAAGGCTTGAGAATTTGTCTTCCTTTTCAGTGAGAATTCCAGGAAAGCTTGGCATGGCTGCCCCTATGGTCACTCCAGAATGTACCCTGGAGGGTAAAAGAGAATTTCCTGGCGGTTTTAGTTTAGCTTCAAGATGGAGATAGGCTTTGGGATAAGAATTGGCATATGGAAAGAAACTCCCTGCTCTCTCAGCAGCAGTGAGTCTTCAGCTAGTGGAGGACTGCAATTCAGGGCATTGCACTTGGATGAAGTCAAAAGAGAGCAATGAGAACAGTGAGTGATCTAGAAAACATAGAAATGCAATATCTTGAATTGGAAGTGACCCAAAGGATCATAAAATCTATTATGGCTGATGCCAGAAGAATGAAAGAAAAGTATAGTTTTCTTCTAGGGAAGAGAAGATGAAAAAGAGGATACAATACTCATCAAATAATAATAATAATAATAATAAAAAAGGCTTCTGTGAAGAATTACATTTTTACTGTTTTGTTTTATATCCCTGC